GCGGGGCGCAAATAGTTTAGGATACTTTATAAGGGGCGATGACGGAGCGAGGGTTACATATGTCTGCAGACGGAATTCGGGAGACTCGCAGGACACTGGCTACAGGAAAAGGGCTTGATAAAGCTGATGATTTACAATTCCTGAGCACTCCTAGCCACTTCGAAAACGGGAATCACAGCAGGCCTCGAAAGTGGCGACAGGTTCACAGATCGCAGCCCCGCAGGGATGGCGAGGTCTCATTTGAATCTTCCCGTGGCCCTCACTGTGCTGGGCCCCCCAGCAGGCCTCGAAAATGGCGACAGTTTCGCAGATCGCAGCCCCCCAGGGATGGCGAGGTCTAATTTGAATCTGCCCGTGGCCCTCACTGTGCTGGGCCCCCCAGCAGGCCTCGAAAGTGGCGACAGTTTCACAGATCGCAGCCCCCCAGGGATGGCGATGTCTAATTTGAATCTGCGTGTGGCGTCACTGTGCTGGGCCCCCCAGCAGGCCTCGAAAGTGGCGACAGTTTCACAGATCGCAGCCCCCAGGGATGGCGAGGTCTAATTTGGGTCCGCCCGTGGCGTTACTGTGCTGGGCCCCCCAGCAGGCCTCGAAAGTGGCGACAGTTTCACAGATCGCAGCCCCCCCAGGGACGGCGAGGTCTAATTTGGGTCTGCCCGTGGCGTCACTGTGCTGGGCCCCCCAGCAGGCCTCGAAAGTGGCGACAGTTTCACAGATCGCAGCCCCCCAGGGATGGCGAGGTCTAATTTGAATCTGCGTGTGGCGTCACTGTGCTGGCCCCCCAGCAGGCCTCGAAAGTGGCGACAGTTTCACAGATCGCAGCCCCCCAGTGATGGCGAGGTACAGTTTCAATCCGCCGTGTGTACCCACTGTGCTGGGCCCCCCAGCAGGCCTCGAAAGTGGCGACAGTTTCACAGATCGCAGCCCCCCAGGGATGGCGAAGTCTAATTCGAGTCCGCGGTGGGTACCCACTGCGCTGGGCCCCCCAGCAGGCCTCGAAAGTGGCGACAGTTTCACAGATCGCAGCCCCCCAGGGATGGCGAGGTCTAATTTGAATCTGCCGCGGTTACCCTCTATGCAGGACCCCCCAGCAGGCCTCGAAAATGGCGACAGTTTCGCAGATCGCAGCCCCCCAGGGACGGCGAGGTCTAATTTGAATCTGCCGCGGTTACCCTCTATGCAGGACCCCCCAGCAGGCCTCGAAAGTGGCGACAGTTTCACAGATCGCAGCCCCCCAGGGATGGCGAGGTCTAATTTGAATCCGCCGCGATTACCCTCTATTCAGGACCCCCCAGCAGGCCTCGAAAGTGGCGACAGTTTCACAGATCGCAGCCCCCCAGGGATGGCGAGGTCTAATTTGAATCTGCCGCAATTACCCTTTATGCCTGACCCCCCAGCAGGCCTCGAAAGTGGCGACAGTTTCACAGATCGCAGCCCCCCGCAGGCAAGACAAGAAGAGGCGGGAGGCGGGAGGCGGGAGAAGGGAGAAGGGACGCGACCACACTGCTCTATTCAAAACGAATACCCAACCAAGGAGGGTTGGGAATAATAACATACCACAAACTCCTACTAATACTTACTACTACTACTACTCTACTACTACTCTACCACTTACTACTACTACTACTCTCTACTACTGATAACTACTACTACTACTACTAAACTACTGCTACGCTTATTCTACTACTACTACTCACTCGACTACTACTACTACTACTACTACTACTACTACTAATACTACTACTCCTACTACTACTACTACTACTAACTACTACTACTACTAACTACACTACTAACGACACGACCTACTAATACTACTACTACTACTACTACTACTACTACTACTACGACGGCTACTACACTATACAAACTACTACACTACTAACTACTACTACTACTAACTAACTACTACAAGTACGGCTACTACTACTACGACGACTACTACTACTACTACTACCACTACTACTACTCCTACTACTACTACTACTACCAATATTACTACTACTACTACTACTACTACTACTACTACTACTACGACGACTACTACTACTACTACTACTACTACTACTACTACTGCGACTGCTACGACTACGGCTACTACTACTACTATTACTACTACTACGACTGTTACTACTACTACTACTACTACTACTACTACTACTACTACTACTACTACTACCATTACGACTACTACGACCACGACGACGACGACAACTACTGCTACTACTACTACTACCACTAATGCGACTACTGCTACTACTACTACTACTACTACTACTACTACTACTACTACTGCCACTGCCACTGCCACTGCTATTACGACGCCAACGACGACGACGACAACGACGACGACAACACCAACGGATACGCCTAGTACTAGTAGTAGTACGACTACTACTACTACTACTACTACTCCTCCTCCTACTACTACTACTACTACTACTACTACTACTACTACTACTACTACTACTACTACTACTACTACTACTACTACTACTACTACTACTACTACTACTACTACTACTACTACTACTACTACTACTACTACTACTACTACTACTTTTACTACTACTACTACTACTACTACTACTACTACTACTGCTGCTACGACTAGTACGACCACGACGACTACTACTATTACAACTACTCGACGACTACTACGACTACTACGACTACTACTACTATTACTAATACGACTACTACTACTACTACTGCTGCTACTACTACTACTACTACTACTGCTACTACTGCGACTACGACTATTACAACAACCACAACTACTACCACAACAACTACTACTACTACTACTACTACCACTACTACTACTACTACCACTACTACTACTACTACTACTACTACTACTACTACTACTACTACTACTACTACTACTACTACTACTACTACTACTAGTACTACTACTACTGCTACTGCTACTGCTACTGCTACGCTCCGGCTACTACTACTACTACGACTACTACTACTACTACTACCACTATTACTACTACTACTACTACTACTACTACTACTACTACTACTACTACTACTACTACTACTACTACTACTACTACTACTGCTACGTTTACTACGACTACTACTACTACTACTACTACTACTACTACTACTACTACTACTGCTACTGCTACTGCTACTGCTACTGCTACTGCTACTGCTACTGCTACTGCCAGGATCCCCACTACTACTATTCCGGTTGCTACTAAGATATTTGCTGGCTCGTTCCTGCCCCTGCCCCTGCGCCCGATGCTTGCATGTTTCGCGCATCCCGTGCCTCACTGCAGATCAGGGCGCGCGAATTCCTGTCACATGCACTAGCCTGGCCAACGAAGCGAAGACCCGCCCCTGGTGATGTACACAACCCATGTGCAAAAAGTGCAAACATCAAAGGGCCAAACCATCAAAAATTATCGAAGATGTGGAGGCCTAGATGTCGTTCGCGGAAGATGCATGGGAAGTGGCACGCCCAGCGGGACTTGCACGAGGAGAAGCCGAAGGATAGTAAGCTGATGGCGGATGACAGTAGGACGACGACGACGACGACGATGAATAGGAGAAGAAGACAGGGCGTGAACAGAGGATAGATAGAATAGGGCGAGGTCTTATATGCACATGTGTAGGATTTCCGCTCCAATGGACCTCCTAGGGGCCCTCGAGAAAGTGGCGTCGGGTGCGCAGCTGGCAGTACCCCGGGAGGGCCAGGTTCAATCTGGATCTGCGTACGACGCCACCACGTGGACCTGGCAGCAAGGGGGCCCACGAAAGTGGCGCCAGGTGCGCAGTTGGCAGCGCCAAGCGAGGAGAGGTCCCATTTGTCGGCGGCGAGCGAGGGGGGGAAGTGAGAAGGAGAAGGCCTTTTCAGAAGGCGGCGAGAAGGCTTAGAAAACTTCTCAAAAGGCCAGGGGACTTCCGAGCCTTCTGAGAAGGCCCGCCCCTTCTCACTTGCCCCCCAGGCTGGCCGCCAAAATTTTGGTCTGCGCATGACGTCACTGTGCTAGACCTCAGGAACTCACGAAACTGGGGCCAGTTGCGCAGAAGGCAGCTCCAAGGGGCGCAACGTGCGACAATATTGCGCAGGTTCCCCCAGGAACTCACGAAGGCGGCGAGGGGTGCGCAATTGGCAGGTCCCAAGCAGGCGAGGTCTCAATTGGGTCTGCGCTGCACCACTGCGCCGGCCCTCCCAGGAGCTCGCGAAAATGGCGACGGCTTCGCAGCTCGCAGCCCCCAGGGGACGGCAAGATAGAAGTTTGATCGACGTATGACGTCACCGAGCTGGCCCTCGAAGCTCACGGAAAAGGCGGCAGGTTCGCAATTATCAGCCCCAGCGACGGCGAGCTCTAATTCTGAACCGCGGACGACATCACTGCGCGGGCCCTCTCAGGAGCTCACAGTTCGCAGCTCCCAGCGACGGCTGGGTCTCATTCTGATCCAAGTAAGACGTCACTGCGCTGGCCCTCCCATGAGCTCACGAAAGTGGTGACGGCTTGGAGGGAGGCGAGACAGGACGGAGACCTCAGCGCTACTCTCTGAACGAGAAAACATACGCAAGAGGGTTGGGGAAAACATGCAGAATTTCGCGCCGACCTCCGCCGAGGTTTTGTCCTGTGTTTGTGCTGATGTTTCGATCCTCCTCTTGCCTTCCTCCTCCCTCGTCCGTGCTCCCCCTCTCCCTTCTTACTGAGAGGCCCAGCGGGGTGACGGCCGCCGACACGGTCGAGGACCAGGACTGGACGAGGAGGAGCGGGCGGAAGAGGAGGATGCAGAGGCCGGAGAGATGAGAGCAGGAGGACAATGAAAATAGGAAGGAGCAGGGGGGCGACAAGGGAGGGGGGCGAGAAGGGAGAAGGGAGGATAATGAGAATAGGAAGAAGCAGAGGGGTGAGAACAGGAGGAGGATGATGAGAACAGGAAGGAGCAGGGGGGCGAGAAGGGAAGGGAGGGGGGAAGGCACCTAGAGGAGGGAGAAGCGACGGAGACGGGGGGAACGA